CCAAATCTCTAATTTTACCCTTAAACAGTCAAACGGCAACAATAAAATTTGTCTCTACTGTAAGTTCAGCACGTGTTAATATACAGTCTGATAGCTTTGACATGACCGCAACTATGCGGCATGCGCGATCTTCAACAAACGTTTTGTTTATTTGTTTACATTACGATGTTTATGTTTTTTCTGCAAGATATTTTTGGCGGAAATGGTAAAGCAATGCGGATTGTGGAAGTTGAAAATTTTATGAAATGACATGTTTGCGAAGTGCAAACCGCGATTTTTTAATCAAACAAAAATTTATGACATTCAAGCCGCGAGATTTCATACCTACTGAAATTATATGATATTAGAGCCGCGATATTTCAGACAAAAATAGGACTTTTCCAGACTAGGCCCTGGTGAGATCATCAAAAAATGTGTCAAATTTGACAGTTGACCTTGCTCTACCAAATAGTGAATACCTAACTGTTTTTATAGGAAGAATATTATGGTTTGAGACTTTTAAATACGTCTGTGAATATATTAGGAATCCTTTAAGTAAACTTGTATTCGCTGATTTCAAGTTGTAAATAAATTAATAGATGATTAAGTTGAGTGATGGATTTAGACCCATCAAAACTAATTCCAACACAACTTGAATTGGACACACACAGATCGTTCCAAGCCAGGCTGGAATTCTAAGATTGCAAGTTCACTTATTAAAAAGCTTTCCACCCAAGCTGAAAAGCTTTCCCATTCCCACAGTGCTCTTCCAGGTGAATGACTAAAGTGACTAGGTATAAATGAAAAGGTGGATCAAAAGTGGACTGTGGACAAAATGTTTCGATTTTATACTAGTACAGGTACATTAAATTTGTAAAAGAATTATTTAGATGTCACTTGTTTGATAGATATTTTTTACTTGTCTTTTAATAATTATTTAATGGATTTTTTTAAATTTCCCAGGCCTTTTGTTTGTAATGATCAAGTTTCAGTCAAGTATTTAGTTAACTAGTACTGTAGTACATATACCATACTTGGAGGCGGGGCTTATGGGCACAACCAATCACAGCTTGAAAGCATCCCCATCAACCAATCACAGCTTGAAAGCATCCCCATCAACCAATCACAGCTTGAAAGCATCCCCATCAACCAATCACAGCTTGAAAGCATCCCTATCAACCAATCACAGCTAGAAAGCAGATAAAATTACAATTCCATTATCCAACTACAGCTGGAAAGCTGAAAGGGGCTAAAATCACAATCCTATCAACCAATCACAGCTGGAATTCTGGAAAAGGTTTCCATTCTAAAGGCTTTTTAATAAATATGGCAACATTTTGTGACGTTTCATCGTTGCTGACGCGTAGTAAAGTGTTTTGAGAGTCACGTGAAGGCAACAGAACTTACGTAGCGCATACGTTTTTTTTTATAGTTTTTCATTTCTCGATGCGTCCTTAATGTGTCGGAATATACCGTGTTTACCCTAATTGGATGCCTGAGTCCCTGAGAAAGTGCATGATCATTGATCAGGCCACAAGATTCCAAATGTATCAGAAATGTGTCACGTTTGAGCCACAAGATTTCAGAAACAAGTAGGAAAATTCCAATCTTGGGAAAAAAAATTCCAATCTTGCACTACTCTAGCACCCTCTGTGCAGAGAGTGGATGAATATTGCAAGATCTTTGGCGACGCTTCAGTAGCAAAATTTATGCCTTCAGAAGATCTTGCCGACACATTTAGATGGAAATTGTTTCATTTAACATGAAAATTTAACATTATTTATTATTTATTTATTTATTTATTTATTTATTTAACATTAATTTAACAAAATTGTCACTCTTCGGCCAACTATTAAAAAAAGTAAGGTTTCCGGTATGTTTGATTGATCAGTATGCAGTGAAGCTTGTCCGGAAATCAGTTGCGATGAGTTCCCACCAAAAAAATGTAAACATCAAGTTTACGATTACGTAGTTGCCGTCACATTAGAGTTGTCAGACTGCATTATCACATGTTCAGTTGACACTTGCTGTACAATTGGACTGTTTTTAGGGTAAAATTAGTTATTTGGGATAACATGTGCATGCAACCTTGTAAATAAGTTCGTGGCTTGTAAATAGTTTTCCAGTACTCAGCATAAATGGCTTTTCATTAAAAATTACCCGGCGACGCATCTTAAAATTACCCGGCGACGCAGCCGATGCTTAGGGCTTAAAAACCCATACATTGGCGACGCTGCATCCACCCTCTGCACCATGGTCTAGCTCCACTGCGGCACTGCCCACTGAGTGCCCAGTGCCCACCACATCTCATTCAGACTCATTGATCACAAGTTTTTATACCGTCAAAGACTCAAACGGGGAAATGGGTGGATGGGCGGGACCCGCAGGTAAATTGGGACCGTGGGATGCGTCCCTCACGTCCCAAATTTCGCAGAAATGTTGTACCTAGCGGCTAAACTAATCAAAATATTGCAAAACCATAAATAGTGTCATCATCATTGCATAAACTTCAACATTTTTACTATCTATTTGACTAGGGTAAATGCGGTATATTCCGACACATTAAGGACGCATCGAGAAATGAAAAACTATAAAAAAATAACCGTATGCGTTACTCGAGTTCTGTTCGCTTTATGTGACTCGCAAAACACCGTACTACGTGCCAGCAATGATGAAACGTCACAAAATGTTGCCATATTTATTTCAAAGCCTTTAGAATGCAAACCTACCAAATCCCTATATTCCGACACGTGTGTGGCTATATTCGGCACGTGGTGAGGCGTATTCCGCCGGCGCTTCAAATTCTACTGATACGTAATGCCGTCATCCACGTGTTCGAATTCCGTTTGCTGTGTGAGCTGTATTGGAATACAACATGGCTTTGAATTAAAACACTAATGAATATTGAACACTACTTAATTACGCTTTTAATTAACAACTATAAAGCTTTTAATTAGGCAAATTTTAATTTTTGTACATAGCTTGGAACGATCTGTGTGTATCCAATTCAAGTTGTGGTGGAATTAGTTTTCATGTGTCTAAATCCATTTCTCAACTTAATCATCTATTAATTTATTTACCACTTGAATTCAGCAAATACAACTTATGCAAGTATACTTAAAGGATTCCTAATATATTCACAGACATATTTAAAAGTCTCAAACCATAATATTCTTCCTATACAAACAGTTATTCACTATTTGGTAGAGCAAGGTCAACTGTCAATTTGACACATTTTTCCATGATCTCACTGGGTAGCGTGCATTGTCTCTTTTTGGATCTCAATATTTTCCCACTAGATGGCCAAGACCTAGTGTTTTGGCAGTAGTTCGATGCGCAAATGTATGACATCACCATTTCAACCATCAACAAACGTATGGAACTAAAACAAAGCTTAATATAAAGGAAAAACTAGAGAGGTGACGGAATTACCCACGATGTCGGAATATACTGCATTTACCCTATTTGTATAAAGCTGGTTAAGAAATTGTACATTTACTATCTCTAAAAAATCACTGAAAATAAGTGTGAAAAGTGTGATTTTGGAAAAGAACCTCTACTAAGGTCTAGAGCAAAAAATATTAGCCGTATTAAAAATTTACTTACAGAAAAGTTGCACACAGGTGCTGGCTTGAAAATGCGATTGATGGAATTAGCCTATCTCATTCCAAAAAAAATTGGGTGTCATTTCTGCATGATGGGGTAATAACTAATAAGGGACACCCCCCTGTGGTAATAACTAATAAGGGACACTCCTAAAAACGCATTTACAATTTAACCTAAGTTAGACTTAGCCAAAGCTCCAGCCTCCAGGCAACAAAAAAAAAATGATTAACTTTTAACAAGTTTAACAACAATGAATTTTGATTACATTTACCTTTCTCAGCAAAAAAAAAAATTTCACTTATCAAAAAATTAATGCAGGGAAATTGAATGTCATGTATATAATTGTGCACTGGGCATCATAGAATTTATTAGAATGAAAGGTAATTAACCTAAACTCTGATTTATTTCTCCAAAACATATGATGGTTGTTACTAAAACTTTCATTTCTGTTTCAAGTACATTTTTTATAACAAATTCTCTTAACCCTATTAAAATGTTGTGAAATTACAAGCTGTTCTGCAAGGTTATAGATACAGAAGAAGCGCAATAGGGCTGCTGATATGAAGCTTGTAGTGGACATGGTCATTGTAAATGTTCAATGGCATGTTTAAGGATATGGTAATTGTAATATCACATCAATAATACAGTAATGAATGAATATGGTGATATCATATCAATAAAGAATAAACAAGTAAAAAAAAGACAGAAAATATCATTTATTATATACATCTACATTTTTGCCTTTCTGAGCCATTCACTTGGGCATTCCCCAGGGCTTGGTCATCTTGCCGGCCCTCTTTAACCACTTCATTTCTGATATCCCAATGCCGATCCCCAGCATTGCCTCATATGCTGATGACCTTACCATCTTTGCGGCGTCCCCAAGGCTTGACTCTGCGGAGGCTGAGCTTGCCGTGCTCCTTCGCAGTGTCTCAGATTGGTCAGCTGACAAGAAACTGGCCGTTACTCCTGGCAAGTCCTCGGTCTTGCTCTTCATCCCAGATACGCACCAATCCCTATACCACCCATCTGCCACTATCTTCAACGGCATCATCCCCCTGGATAAAACCCCCCAAAATCCTAGGCGTCACCTGGGATACGCACTTCACATTCACCCCTCATGCAAGAGCCGTAGTCACTAAAGCGATGGTCTCTCTTCACATCTTAAAAGCCCTTGCTGGTATGGTACCAACTGGGGCTTCTCCAAGGAGGACATAATTGCCACCCCATAATTGCCATCATGCGCTCAGTCCTCAACTATGGGGCCCCCATCTGGTACCCTGTCGCCTCATGCACAGCAATTGCCAGTCTGCAATTGCTGCCAGGGCATCAGCAGCAGCCCAGGGCATAGTATAATTGACTAATTAATTTCTTCAAATTAAAAAATTGTTTCTTTTGATTGTACCAAAATTCTACTGACATGTGTAATTCTAGCAGTTTTCCTTGAAAGCAGCTAATAATTTATTTATGAAGAGTCTGTGTTTTGATGCAGCACAAGAAAAAGATACTATTGGGCATTAAGCTGTAAAGAGATTATTATTGCAGATTCCACATTTTCATTTACCTATTTGTTAGTAAAATATTTTTCCGAAGTAAGCATGAAATGTTCAGGAGTGGACTGTGTTGGCTACCAGGAACTATCTCCTGATCAACCAACTGTTCCAAAATGGAGGAGTGTTATCATCAATACTGGTATGAAGCCATATTAGAAATTTATATTTATAAAATCTATTTCACCTTCAGCTACAATTAATCACCTATGTATAAAAGTGCAATATGTAATAATTTTTCCTCCATCTGAAGATATGACATTCCAGTGCGCTAAACTTCTGTGATTCACCCTCTTGTTGTTGTTGCTCCTATTTGTTGAATTAATAATCCTAGTAATATCTTCTGCTAGATTAGTACTGATTTGAAGCCATTTATTGCTAAAATTTCAGGAGCTTCTCAGAGCACACTTCAGGACATCAAAGTTCCTGCCTATGGTGGGGGCTATGCTTATAAAGGCTCCTCTGCTCTCTCAAGCAACAGATACATTTTCTGGTCAGTCAGCTCATCTTGAGAATGGTTCCACTCTCACTCTTGTAGTGTTGAAAAATATGGTAATCCTGGAATCCATGTTGTCCCTCCTGAGACATTAAGATGAGGATATTTGGTTATTTTGTGCACTTCATAGTTTTCTCCGTATGACCTTAATTCACAAAATATATAACTGAAAATTATATTTCTCCAAAAGGCGTGTGACTGATGACATCATAGAGCTCTGGGAAGAGTGCCTCTCCTTTGACCTTGTTCAGAACTATGTCAGCCTGAGGTGAGGTGTGAGTCAATGCTATGCACATTTTTCTGCCAGAATTGTCCTTTATCATGCACATTTTAGTGAAATTGAGGAATAGTTGCCATATTTCTATTATGAAATGAAAGATCTTGAGTTATTTAAATAATGGTTTCATCATTGCAACAATGCAAGGCAATATTAAAATTATCAATTCAATATTGATCATTTCAATGTTGTGTGGCTTAACAATTTCTATGGGGCTTGGTTTTTAAACATAATGATGCTTGGCTTGCATTAAAGTTTGTGGCCTTAGATGAGATTTGTTATTTTTTTATTTCATTGTACTACCAGGATTGTTTTTGGCTCTCATTAAAGTCTGTGGCCTTATATGAGATTTGTCATAATTTATTTTCATTGTACTACCAGGATTGTTTGGCTCTCATCAAAGTTTGTGGCCTTTTATGAGATTTGTCATAATTTATTTTCATTGTACTACCAGGATTGTTTGGCTCTCATCAAAGTTTGTGGCCTTTTATGAGATTTGTCATGATTTAATTTCATTGTACTACCAGGATTGTTGGCTTACCAATCTTGGAGGGGGTGAGCGCTCATGAGAGCAGCGGCCGCCACGTGCGGCTGCTGGTGGCCACCATTGCATCCACGCATTGCTTCACACTGCCTCACCCCGATACCCTCAAGCTGGTATTAGTGAGACTTCATTTCCATATGCTTCTATTTCCATCAATGTTCAATACTTTTAATATTTGTTTATAATTATCACATAGATTAGCTTTACGTCATAGAATTCTATTGTTTTTTTAGCATATTCTTATCTCGTCATTTCAATGCATGTGTGAAATATTTCCTGAAAATTGAATTTGAAATTGTTCTGTTCTTATTCAAGATTGAATTTGTTCTGTTCTTATTCAAGATTGAATTTGTTCTATTTTAAGACATAATATCAATTGCAGGGAGAGAGCAAAGGAGCACCGCAACCCTCTATCTTGCGAGACCTCGAACAGAACTGTCTTGTGGACACCCACTCCATGCACCTCCTCAGCTCACCTGCACGTGAGTCAAGAGAAAATTGAATTGTAGGAGCTGTACTGGTATCAGGCTAATGATTCCTGTGTTGAGCCGTGATTGATTAAAATTCAATTTTTAATCATAGCATATTTTTTTGGCTTTATCTGCCCTATATGAGCATCAAATGTATTCCTTATGAATAAGCTATGAATGTATCATGATCAGTTTTTCAATCCCAGGCCTATTTTAATACTATCATTCTGATCAATTAAACTAATTATAAATATTGATTGCATTCATTAGCATCAATTAGTTTCATTACTCTCTAATATTGTATTATTGGTAGCTTGTTTGGACAATGGGTCAAATTGCAATGGGTGCTTGAGTGTCATTGTATCAATCGGGGTTTGAAAGAAACAAATGATCATTTGAAGGTCTCACCCTATGCTTAAAACCACCTCAAAACACCTAGTTCTTTGATCTTGTTGTTTTGTATTATCTTAATCATATAATTTTTTATAAATAACCAAAGAAATATAATATTCAGAGATCTAAAGAGACGTACAAACATTGAGGCATTGAGTCCACTCAGCATGGAAGGCATTATCAGCCAACTGCCTAGATTTTAGTCAGACTAAAATAGTCATTTTTCCACGGATCTTTAAAATATAATCATCAAGAAATATTTCAGTGAACATCCAACTGAACAATGAGTTATATTATTGCTTAAACTGTGATAAGGTTATTTGGCAAGGACCTCTTGGCATTGAAGGTTATTTGGCAAGGACCTCTTGGGATAGAAGGTTATTCGGCAAGGACCTCTTGGCATTGAAGGTTATTTGGCAAGGACCTCTTGGGATAGAAGGTTATTCGGCAAGGACCTCTTGGCATTGAAGGTTATTCGGCAAGGACCTCTTGGCATTGAAGGTTATTTGGCAAGGACCTCTTGGCATTGAAGGTTATTTGGCAAGGACCTCTTGGGATAAAAGGTTATTCGGCAAGGACCTCTAGCACAAGGACCTTCATTTACACATGAAAAGAGGCTCCCACTAAAATGTCAATGTAATTATTCTTATTGCTGTATAACTTGCACAGTGGAGGTGGGGCGCATCCATGCCTGCTGCAGTGCTGTGTGCGGTGATCGCGCCGTGTTCCTCTTTGGGGCGCCGGCAGCAGCCCTCCTCGTCATCTCCATGGACCCCAACGCGCGCCACCCTCCGCCGCCTGGTAGGAGGGACTTATTATACTGCTCTTGTCCTTTATTTTTGATGCCAAGTTTTTTACTGCAAGTGTTTTATGTACAGTTTACTAACTAGTTGTCCACTACCGTATGCCACTCATTCAGAGCTTTACATTGTGATATGTTACTTACCTACGTTTTTTTCATTAATTTTTTCTCAAAATAGCACACAAGCCCGTATTTTGCCAATATATTTCATTCATTGGCCTATAGGTAAATTTTTGCTGTATCCTCTCGTTGGACACTAAACCTCTTGGATACTCAGGTGCCGTTGACAGCACTTCAGTGACGCTGGTCAAGAACAACTCCCTGGTGAACAGACTCTTCCTGGGCTTCGTTCCTGGGGTTTTCAAGTGAGTTCAAATCCAGTTTCATGCAAATGGAAATGTTTTTGAGCTTTTGGAGTATTGCTCAGCATTTGTTATAGAAACATGGATTGGAAAGGATCTGTATTTTTAAATCAATTAAAATTGTTAAAGACGGATCAGAAGGGCAGCGCAGACTAGTTTTCTACCATCCTGCTGATGTTTGTTTATTTGTGAGCCTCCATCACTTCCGAGAATGTCCTCATATTGGGCCCTTATCTAGTATATATGTTAATAAATTGATTGAGGGCTGAGCAAATTCATGTATAATTGTTGTTCTAAATGCTTTCCACAAATTTGCTCATGTCTGTGTCGCAATATGCTAGTAAGGCTGGCATTTTATTCTGTCTTACCGAAAACAATTATACATGTATATTAATATTTGTTCTACCTCCTTAGAGCCGGGGAAAGTGGACGAGTTAGCAGCCTTTGCTGCGTGGTCCTCCGCAACGGAAAGCAGCAACAAGTGGGTGCTGATTGCTGTAGGTCTTCTAAATTTTCCCACGGGCTACTTATGTTTTATTATTGATGCCTTTTTCTTGCTTAAGGTCAGCTTACTCCTAAGGTTAGCTTAGCTGCAAAATGGATAATGATTAATTGTCTCGTGTTACTGGTGGTTCCTCCAAAAAAAGGTTTGGTTGCCTAGTGTAACCGATGGTCTTTCTATCAATTGGGGTTTAAAAGGAACTATAGGTTGAACGAGAGCCAGCTTTTAGTCAATCTAAAGGCTACGAATAATCAATCAGAATCAAATACTAAGGAATTCACGTATCGCATTACTGTTACATTGCAAAGAATTTTGTACAGCGTGTAAACCTGGTTGAGTCAATGAGCTATTCCTTTTAGGGTTCTTGCAATAAACAATGAAGTAATTCTATGCCTTCAACCGTAATGACGCCTAGTTTGCCCCTTCAGGAATTGGTTTGCAAAGACCGCTAGCATGGAACTCCTGCATTTTTTAAATCTGCAATGAATTTCCTCTAAATCAAAATGGATTTCCTTTTATAGAGAAAGAACTCAAAGGATGCAATAACACTCGAAAAAAACTTGCCTAGAGATTCCGTGTTTTTACATCATCTTTAACTACCACTCAATAAAGGCTTGCGGAGAATTGGATCATGGTCTGAATATGAAGGTCAAAAAGAGAAGTCACTTAAATATTTTCTTTAAAAATAGAACAGCAAAAACACTGACAAGTAGAAAGTCATAACATCGAATCATTTTTCTCTAAAAAGTATTGAACACATCCAAGGTTTTCACATAAAATATCATTTGCCATGTGAAAAGCTAAGAGCTGTTCTGAGGAACCGGACTTTGAAAATGTCTGCCAGGAATTCCTGTTTATTCAAGTTAAAGAATGAATGAACATCATAAGATTTACTCATTATCTTGGTTATTGGATCTCTAATCAAAATACCTGGCTATACAACAACGAATGTGAAACTTTAAAGTGGATCCTGAATAGACATGAAAATTGGTAGTAAAAATGTGGCATCAGATTTCACTTGACTCGCCTGAGAATATTTAACTTTATTGACTGGGCAATGAATGAATGACAGAAAAAACTGCTTGCCAGTACACGCCGAGCATTCAAATGTTTGTTGAACACTTCCACAGGCCTTCATTAAATCGGCTGACATTAGTTGCTGACGAGTATATTAATCAGCTGACGTTAGGTGCTGACGAGTATATGTAATAGACATCTTCTGTCGTTTAGTGGACTATTGATAGAAATTGATAGGCTTAGTTTCTTTGCTTAACTGTCAAACAACTAACAAGAAACCATCAACTATCTCCTTCCGCAAATTTTATTAGTTTGAACAAACTTCAACAATAATCGCAGGTCGATATATAGTAGCATCTTTAAAAAAATGTCTAGGCTGATGCCAAAAAATTGAAATTTCTTTACGTTGTAGCCAATATTGATATTCTTGTAATTAAGATTTTCTCAATGTATTTTATGATCTTTGAACGATTTCCTTCCTGTACATGAGCCAGTTCACCTGCCTTGTTCTTACACAATCCCCCGTGTACCGCAGGCGTACGGCGTGGGGGTGTGCGGGGACGCTCGTTTGCGGCTGTGGTGTCTGCAGCGCAGCGACTGCGTTATAGTGCGCGACACTGCGGAGGATACGGGCGAGACTGCCGCTGCTGGTGGGGGTGAATAGTTCTGGGGACGAGTTAATAAGGGACCTCTGCAAGGGTCTGACACGGAGAAGTCATGGAGTAGATCAGTAAATGTAGTAGTGCCTCGTATAACTTAGATTGATTTGCAAAAACATTAGTTAATAATCCACTGACATACAAACATCTACTTGATGTATGGCAGGCCTTCTACAGACTCTGCCTATGTGCCTGCGAACATTTCAATTCGGTTTTTCATTTCTGCTCAGTTTTGATAGTCTTAAATATTGCTGTTTTTTAAAAGCCTTAGACGGTTCAGCTGGATGTGATCTGTTGATGAGTGTTCTATACACTTTGTTGTCTAGGCGAGGGTCATCGCGTTGTGTGCCGCCCCATGGGTGACGGCAGCGCCGTAGTGGCGGTGTGGCTGAGCTTCGTAGATCGTCACCTGCTTCTGCTGTACCGCCTCACGTCGCCAGGCTCCTCGGACGCCGCGTCTGCAGTACCACAACTCGCTCACCTCAGGACGCTCTTCCCTCCTCAGGTCAGTTTGTCATTTATATTCAATAAATTATATGGATGCCTGAATATATGTAGGTTTGATTGAAGACCAGAGCATGCTTTTTATTTATAATCTCGTTTTTTCAATGAGTCGAACAAAATTTCTAATTGGCGCCGGGAGATCAGTGATTGATCATTGATCTCCCGGTGCCATTTAAAAAACGAATAATAAGATTATTGAAACGAAAAATGAACGAATAAAAAATTGGAAAAAAACGAACGAATAAAAAATTCATTGAAAAAGCTAATAAGAAGATTATTAATACAAATAATGCTCTGATCTTCAGTCAAACTTGCATAAAAGAAATCTGCTGCCGAACTATACCAATAAGTAGGTATATGTTTATATGTGCATGCCTGCATCCTCGTCTATCCTGATGCTCCTTTCTCGTCCCTGCCACCGACATCAGGAGCTGTAGAATGTAACTAACACCTAATAACGTAACGTCGTATGTAACTGGCCTCACGTTACAGGAATATGCCTTGAGGTCAGAATTATCCAAATACATAGTCAATGAAAATCATAATTTGTTCAAAATTATAAATGTTTCATTTTTATGAGACATCAGGCATAAATCCTGTAAAAGACTTGGATCTAAATTACATATTTTTTGCTAAATTTTTTATAGTACTCTTCTCACTCGATTGAAATAATATTATAATATTCCAAAATATTAAATATTTTGCAGTCATATTCACTTCATATTCCTTGTCTTAGTTTAATTTTTATCATGTCATTGCTTTTGCAGTCGCTGCAAAGTCACTTCCTTTAGGTATTTCATTTGTGCAGAAACTTGTAGACTGCGACTGGAACCTGAAATTAGCTCTTGTTGAATTATCTGTTCCTTAAGCCTTTTAGGTGAAGCTTCAATGTTCCCATCTTCTAACCACCATCAAAACTTCAGTATTCTCTCACGTGTTCATTTGTTGGAAGTAGGTACTGATTCAAATTTTATGTAATGTAAAGTTTTGTTGTGCAGCAACGCCTGGTGGACTTGCAGCTGACGGATGTGGACGTGTGGACGTTGTGGACCGACACGAACAGCGACAGCGAGGTAAGAGCTGAGATTGTTCAGATGATGGTGTAAATAACTCGTCTTCTAACACAGAATTTCATCTCTTCTGATGGGTTTGCTACAAAAAAAATTGTTTTAGTTGTTGGCATTTGTATTTGTGTATTTGTATTAATTTAAGCTGAGTGCTACACGAAACTACCGGTACCTACTATTTATGTTGGAACAAAGCAACAGATTCATTCCGCTGATTGTTTTGATCGCTACACCTCAAGTTGATGAACATCCCTCGAACATTGCAGGTGATGCACTGCCCCATAGAGTTGCAACAAGAGACCGACGCTGTGGCAGGGGCTGGAGGACTACAGGCAGCTTGCGCTCAGCCAGCTCCTCCGAAGACCGTGCCTCTAGCTGACCCAGCCCTGGACCCTAAAGAGGTCTACCTTCAGACCCTCTTCTTACCCAACACTTTCTCCCGCAGCTGCCTCACCAGAGCTCTTGCTGTAAGTGCAAATTAAATACGATGGAAATTGAATACGTGTAATAATAAGTAATAGAATTAATTGAAGCTCAGCGGCCATCATGCGAAACGGCCTAGGCAATCTTCACAGTACTGAAAATTGATTGTGCTCAAGTGTTCCTAGATACATGACATACAATTTATTGTGTTCTAAGTCATATTTGCAAATAGTGATTCAATAAGTGATTGGGAAAGCTGTATCAAATAAATTACAAACATTTTAGCTGTGGAATTTTTGTCAGATCTATGGCAGGAGCGGCAGCGACCAGACACCTCAGGATGCTGTAGAAGAAACGCTCCGACAGCAGCTCGAGAACTCGTCCCCTCACGACGCCGGCCCCCAGGAGCGCTACGACCTGGCGCTTGATGTATGGGAGACCTTCTACAACCACGTCCTAGAGTACCATCAGGTAGTGCTAGCGGCATAATGCTAGTAGCATCCTAAGTATAATTGATTATTGATACTTGATATTGATCATCTATTGGCCAATAGAGGATCAGCAGTCAATATCTATATCAATTGATCTGCAGTTCCCCATTGATATTGATCATCTTTTTCAAGGGGTGAATTTGCCATCTTGCTCGATATTCAAATCAAAGCCCTTGAAACTAAAAGTAGCATCAGTAGGCGAAAAGTACGGCACCTTGATGTTCCTATTTTCACTTTGCACTATCAATTGCGCTGTGCAGGTTGGGCGCAAGAGCCTCGGTCTGGTGTGTGGCGCTGAAGGCGAGGTGGCGGTGGTGAGGAGGGCGGGCGTCTCGTGGGTGGTGGCCGTGGAGGCTCTGGAGGCTCTTGTAGCGGCCGTCATCGCGGCTCCTCCTTCGGAGGACCTCACGCAGGTCGGCGCTTCTTAATAATAGAGCTATTTGTATGTGAGAGTAACTAGCACCTGGTCGACTAAGGGTGAAGTAGGAAGTATTATGAAAAAACTAAGTTATATATAACAATAACTAAAGTCATATCATTCATTGAGATTTACATACTTGTCGTTGTAAGGCCTTACAAATGCTTAAAATGAGATTTTTTCGAGAGCACATGTCATGATAATTATTTTGTGATATAAATTTACGTGCGGGTATTATATCCACAATAATTCTAAATTATCCATGTAAAATGTGTGCAGCTGGTGCTGCGCTACGGTGCCTCGGCTGTCTTGTGCGGGGATGCCTCGCTGGCGGCGAGTGTGGCTGGGGCGCTGCGCTGCGTGGCCATAGTGCACAGCCTCATGAACAGCGAGGTGGCCGCGGCCTTCGTCCTCGACATGGCACATCACACCCACCCTGAGGTCGTCGCTGAAGACGTGGCATCATCTCTGCTGTCTCAGGTTTTTATTTATTTATTTATTTTTTAAGTCGTTCTTTGCGTATTTTTGAACGGTCTTCATTTCTAGACTATATTCGTATAAAATTTCTTGTCTCAGTGATCTAGTTCATCTATCTAATTCTTCCTTACTTTTTTAAACTTTCAAGAATACATTTGATTCGTTGTTTGCGTTGAATACACTTCTGCGTTTGGTACTTTTTTCATTCGAGACGAGACAACAGGGCATGTCTCGGTTAGCAATAAAAACCGGGTAAATTTTTAGCACTCCGTGGGAATTACGGAACAATACCGAGACGAGACGTCCCGGTTAAAATAGGAGTTATAAAATTTCTCGCAATTTTCATCTTTTATAGCGAGACATACTACTAGTTAATCCTTTATATGCAATTAGAATAGGTAGTAAATTTTGTCAGACCATATCAGATCAACATTTTGTCTGTTTAAAACTTTTCATGTATATTACTATGCAAAATGACATAACTATTGCCCTTCTTGCAAATTTGAAGGCCTAGGGTAAAATTGAAAACACAACTAATTTTTAGAAAGGTTGGGCGGGATGAATTATTACAGATTTCTAAGTCATTTCGTTTTCGATTAAAACGAAAAAAAATTTACGGAACTGAACAGCTCACTAATCACACATCTGAAGGGAGCTGCATGAAATTTTAAACATATCGAATTAATCCAGATTACGCGGTAGGAATCGACGCAAACTTTTATGTTTCTTTGGTTTCGATTTACACCACGGTCAGTAATAATCGTGACTAATTACCAGGCTAGTGGCCTCGTGTACATGGGTACTGTCCCCATTTCATTGCAGATGTTCCCAAGTTTGTCTAATGCCAAATCAGAGTCTTTGTTTTGACCGGCATCATGTTTCTCCAGTCTTATGCCCCGTTCTCACATAGCCGGTAAAAGGGCCGGAAGTGCCGGAAAGGCCAAGCCGGTTGAAATGCCGGATTTATAGCCGGTATATGGGGCAGGGCGTAATATGCAAGGGGCAGGGCTTAGTATGTAATGCCCTCCAGGTAGCTGTCCCGTAGGAGCCGGTAGGTTTCCCGGAAGAGCCGGATATCCGGGAGATCCGGCTTCAGTAGCCGGGAGATCCTGCAATACCGGCTGTCAACGTATTCCCGGTACTCCCGGGAGCCTGCCGGAAGTCTCGTATGCCTCCCGGATTTCCAGGTAGATCGCCGGAATTCCCGGAAAAAAAGCCGGTAAAACAGCAGGTAGAGCCGTTTGAGCAGTAAGAACTGCCGTAAAACCAGGGTAGGCCCGGCTTTTTTTCCGGTATTCCAGGTAAGTTATGCAAATTTAGGCCCGCCCCTTTCAATAAAAGCTTTCAATATTTAATGAAAAGTTCCCCTATTTAATTTAATACCTTTTCCACAATATTCAGATCTAAATTAAATGGAGACAGGTATTATTATAAGTTAAAAAGTGTATTAAAATGTTTAAGGAACTTTATTGAATAAGGACAACTTTTCGGAAAGTAAAAGCAAAAATGTGTATCAGCTTCAGTTAAAAAATTGTATTCATCTTTAACACAAAATTATTTCAGAAAGTGTTTACAAAATTATTTCAGACAATTATTTCATAAAGTGTTTACAAAAAGAAAATGGTGATAATGTTTCATTTAATTAATCACACCCTATTTATTGTTACATTGTGTTTACAATATATAAACATGCATACTGGTATATCTAATGCAAATTTGCAAAGTTTAATCAGCAGACGTGAAAGAAATGTTAATAATTAACAAAACTTGCACAAAAATGTGAAAAAGTACATCATTTCAACAGCAGATAGTATAAAATATGAACAATTGACAATGCATTTGCAAAAAAAAATAAAAAAAGTACAAAGTTGAAACAGCACATAGGCTGAAAATGTGAATAAGTAACAATGCTTTCGCACAAAAAAAATGTTTGGGACGATTTCACCCCTCCCGGTACCCCAGGCTGGTCCCCCGGCCGTGCCGGTTGAGTTCTCACATAGCAACGGAAGAGCAGGTTGGCTCTCGGATTTTTATGGTTCCGGGCGTACCGGCAAAATTATTCAACATGTTGAATAATTTTTCCGACCAAGCCGGATAATGGCCACGCCCTCCAGGAACTCTAGGAACTCCCGGATCTCATTTTCCGGATCTCCAGTTTGATAACCGGTAGCCCAGGAATAGATTCCGGGTGTCTTCCGGCCCTTTAACCGGCTATGTGAGAACGGGGCATAAGAACTAACCAGCGTCGGCACTAAGAAGGTGCCTATGCATCCCCGATATCTTGCCATCGTTGATGTTGTAAATATCGCCAAAAAATTTGCACCGACTATTGGCCTGGTTTAGGCAGGTTAGTACCTCCGCCATCATGGGTTTCGCCTGTTCTTTGCTCCTCAAAATATTTTCAGTTGCCACTTCAGATTCCTGGCATCTTGCAGGGGTTTGAGAAAGCCCATCCACATTCTACTAAATGGCTGACCAATAGACATTACGTCAACGACAAGCACAGATGAAATTGAGCGCACTGTACTCGTATGTTTCTCGTCATGCGCGATTAAAAGCACAACCGAGTCACTAAATATTTAGCCATACCTCACCAAATCTTCGCACTAATTTAACTGCCAATTTAGTTTGGCAGCCAAATATCGTTGAACCTGCCAATGACTGGCAACTGCTCATTATCAATCAAGAACTAACTTGATACTCCTTAACCGCGCGTGCGGAATGTTTCACTTCACTTTGTTTTTGTTTAGTTAGAAATATCTTTTTGCGCCTTGAAAATTTAAGATATGTCTCGTCTTGTTACGTCATGTCTTGTTTCGCGGATCTATCTGCCGCGTATCGCTAAATAATTACCGGACACTAGTTTTAAAGTCCGGGACACAAGTCTTGTTCCGGTTCGTATGTTTCCGGTTCACAAGTCTTGTTCCGGAAAATTTTACCCTCTGCCCCGTTATTCATTTCCCTGTAATTTCTCGTCTTGTCCCGGCAGTCTCAGTTCATTTCGAGAAAATTATTCCAATAGGCATGAGTCTAGCGTTGAATTCCAACATTTCTTCTAGAATTGGCGACCATGAATTGAACATTTTTGCTGCAATGGTCTTATCAAAATTAATCACTATTGTGCAGGTGGTAGCCGGTGATGAGGCCGCTGCCGTGCTGAGCTCAGCAGTAAGCGCCGTACCGAACTTCACCGCCGGCCTGCGCTGCGTACTCCATGCGCTGAAGCTGGACTCCAATAGAGCTCAGGACTCCGCTGATCCCGCCCGCCCTTCTTCTCAGTGCCAGCTGTGGAGCTCGCTGGTGTCCGCGTCCTTGCACCATCTGGCACAGTCGCGTTTCCAGCTGTGCCGGGACCTGCTCGTCCTGCAGCAGGCTGTTCTTCAGCTCTCTCAGGTGAGCAAATTCTTCAGCTCGTTCACCACGAAAAAATATCGTTTCTGGGCTGTATTTAAGCCTATATATAGGTCTGTGTGGCCAATGATGCTGCATGTCTTGTTTCTTGAAAATTCATAATAGTCACCTGTATGTTTCAGATCCATCAATTCTCCAATTCTATCTATTGCTTATAATTAGTAGTTCATTTTTTATTTAAAAATTGTGTTTATAATATTAATTAATTGAATAAATGACTTGTGTTTCAGTTGTGCCATTTGAGCGCGGATTGTGTGGGCGAGCTGAGGTCTAGTGTGGTGCAAGAGACCGTGCTTTTGTGTCGCGCCTACTACGCTCTTCTGTGCCTCACGCGGTCCCCTGCGACGCGACCATCACAGCAGCTACTACACGACCTCACCAGGGCCCTAGCCGCCCTCGGTCTCCACGACACGGTGCCCTCTGTAGAGCCTCTGCCTCAAGGCGCCCTGCCGTCTACGGCCTTGTGTGCCATCTTGCAGCAGGGCGCGTGTCGCTTGCAACCCCAGGGACCCTGGATTACTTCTGTAGCTAAAGCTGTCAGGGACTTTGCCCGTGAGGCGTGGCCTCTACAAGACCGCAGTGGAAGCACTGAGCTGTTGGAAGCCCTGCTCTTCAGTGGTCAGGGCACAGCTGCTCTTCATTACATCAGACAGGTCAGAGACATTCCTGCATTGCTGTATATCTTCATTAAAAAAATAATCTTTGTCTTAGTACTTGCTGAAAGAACGAATTACCTCACTTTTCGATTCTGCTGACACTTCCACACTTTGCAACAACGCAGGTGAGCGGATGGTGCGAGTGGAGCTTGTGCAGCCGCCACTTCCTGCTCGGGGTTTGCCTGTTGCTGCAGGGACAGCACCGTAAAGCAGCACGTGTGCTGCAGGAGGCCGCTGAAGGTTGTGCCTCTGAAGAACTCCTGGCGACAAGAGTCGGTGGTGGAGGCGATACTGCGTTGCTCCGCTACACGCTACGTCTCGTCCGTCTTTTTGAAGTCTTCCAGGAACCTGTGCTGGCGTTACGTCTGGCGTCTAGCGCCCTCTGTGTGGAGCAACATAGCACTGGGCATATGTCCCAGCTGTATGCGGTGCTGTTCAAGCACCACTTGGCTCTTGGTCATTATAATGAAGCGTTCACAGCGCTGCTCTCTAACCCTGATCCTGATGCTCAGCGTTCTTGTCTACGGCAGCTGCTAACGACGCTCCATAACTCTGGGTGCGTGCAGAATTTCTGGCCCCATTGCCATTTATTTTTTTTTTTTTCAAATTGTGGCATTCTAGTGAATGGGATGTGAGGAAGATATTGACAAAAATCTCATCCTCTATTGTGTAATTTGAAATAAAATGGCCTTCTTTGCGATATTGATAGCGATCCATAGAATCATCTTCTATTATTTATTGCTTCGTAGAAAGCATGGATTAGAAAGTGTAACAATATTGACAGTCGGTAATCAAACTAACCTTTTTGATCCTTTATTGCATTTTCTTCAGTTGAGAATTGATAACCATAAGTAATACTGTAGCTGTAATTTATGAGACTTGTATGAATTGCATATGCAAACATTGGCAGGTGCTTGAGCACATTGGTGGGCTACCAGTATGGGCACCTCACAGGTGACGTCGTGAGCATCCTCGAGAACAGAGCGCGCTCTTCATCTGACATCCTGCAGAATAACTACTACCATCTTCTCTATGCCTTCCATCTCCATCAACACAACTATAAACGAGGTGGTGTTTCAAGATCGTTTGGGGCGTTTCAAATTGCCTATCAAATATTTTATGGTTGATAATGCTTAATTAATGTTCAGTTCTATGTTCTGCGTGATCTTCATGTTGTTCACTGTGTTTGTCCAGCGGCGAGTGCAATGTACGAGTGTGCAATGCGCCTCGACAGCGGCGGTGAAGCAGGATCAGAAGAGGCGCTGAAGCTTCAACTAAAGTGCTACTTGGCTTGCCTCAACTGCCTCGAGCTGCTACCTCCCAGCGAGGCCTGGATACTCAAGCCTAATCCTTTGAATACTCAGCCGAGCCCGGCACTTGACACCACGACCAAGCAGACACGACGACTAATTGGTCAGATTTGTTTTACTCGACCGCAGAGCCAGGGTTGCCAGATGGCTTAAAAAGCGGCCAAGTCCGCGGACAAAAAAGGCCAAGACGGCCTATAACTCAATATATATTATTATATTTTTAGGTTCCGATGCAAAAATTCGTTTCATTTTTTTCGGACTTATTAAATTTAGTTAGTAAGTACCGCCATCATAAATTTCAGCCGACCAACGCAACTGAAAAAAAATAATCGCGGAATTTGGCTGAAAAAAAGATCATCTGGCAACCCTGCGCTTAACGTGTTGTAATTTTTTTGCCCAACTGCAACAATTGATTGAAAGGTGCTTTATATTTATATTAAGGTTATTGGTACAGCCACATAAAAGTTTCGCTATAAAAGTGATCTAAATAATTTATTACCGACGATAAGGAAGTTGTTAGTATGACTTTCTGATTTTCAACAATACTTGTAAGTAAAAAAGTTCGTGCAAAATTTATCACTTATTTGTATTGAGTTTAGTGACATATTCTTGTTGTTTTATAAATTAAATACTATTTCGAATGTCAATGTCTCCCCTTCATTCGATTAAATTCAAAGTTCCCAATGACTACTCTGACGAAATCTTTTCAATCAATAATTTCATGATTAATATTTCTTGAAACTTGATTTATAACTGTTGATGTAAGTACAATTATTGTCACATAGAACGAGGTGTTTTCAATCAATAATTAATTTCACAATTTTATATTTCTTGAAACGTGATTTAGAACTTTCGATGTGATAGCAATTATTGTCTCTTAGACCGAGGTGATTTTCTCTCGATATCACATATAAAAATTCACATTATTCATCCATTCATTTGATGGTTAACTGAAGTGGTCGCGTTGCAGGTTCTAGCGCAGGAGCGTCGGCCCGCCGTGTGAAGGGGGCGGCGGCGGTCGAGGTGCTCGAGGTGCCACAGATTGGCAACGAGTTCGAGATCCTACACGCACGCCTCAGCCTCGCCAGGATGGGCACGTCCTGCAGCATCGGTCAGAAGTTCCACTAAGTCTTTATTGCTGAGGATCGTTAATTTTAATTACCCATAACTATCTCTTCAATTGTTCTTGTGGTCATTATTGCATTAGTTTATGTTATGGATACTGGATCCTAACCTGCAGTCTTGGCTAACTAACTCTATCTAGGCTGTCTAATATATATGGTGATAAATGATATTTAAAGTTCAAGAAAAAAACATTTTAAAGGTATTATTATTTTACTTTTCGTCCAAATGTTTTCTTAAATTATTGGTTTAGCTGAAGTAACCTGTCTTATTTTCGCGGTAAATGAAATGGCCTGTCTATCTTCGCCTCAAGTAACCTGCCTCGTGTAAAATCTATATAATTAATTTAAAGTAGCAGATGAAAATGAACTGAAAACAAGCTGAAGTGCTGCAGTCTTCATCTCAGTGTTTATTTGCAGGCATCAGCAACGTCGGTGACGCGGACTCGCTGATTTCGTTGCTGTGCCACGCGCGGCTGTACAAAGACGCAGTGAAGCTCTGCGCCAGGCTGGACCGCAGCCTGCGACCCGTCGTCGCGTCGCTCGCTGGGGTCTGCGTGGCCGCTGATCAGGCAGCCGACGCACAACACAACGCTGCGTGGCTCAAACACAACGATGTCACGAGTAAGGCTTGTTTCATGTCTTTAAATTCGGTACGTTATTTATATTCGTGTCTCTTCACATTACGGTGCTGAAGCACTAGTAATTTTACTTTATTGGAACACTAGTTTCATACCGTAGCGCAATCATTCAAGCAAATTTTTACTAACGTATAATTCTTATATCGTGAGAGTCGCGGCATCAGTTCAAATGTAAGTAAAAAATGTACAATTAAATTATTTTGTGCGTGACAGACGTTAATGGTGGCTGGTGGGATCTTCTAAGAGAGCTGCTGGAGCGGGAAAAAGGGAACAAGAGCGAGCTGCATCACACGGCTACTGCCGCCATCTTGGACCTGAACCACGGCCTCCCTCCTTGGCTCCCACTTTCTTATTGTGTAAGTTGTCTTTACCCATGGATGCGCAGAATGTAAGTATGTATATCTTCACTACGTACTTCGCTGTCATTTGATATAAATATCGCCCTCCCTGACAACAACACGTTCTCAAAATAAAGATCGATGCATTTTGGAATACGTTTGCTTTTTTGATCCCTCTTTAAATGCTTTTCTGCAGGGGCTAATATATTCTGTGAGCTAGGATCTATAGTCAAACGATGAGGTGTCAGTTGACATTGTTATCTGGCTTTATATTTTGCATTTTTGTAAAAAATCTGAAACATTGTTAATCCCTGAAACATTGCCACAGCGGCGCGACTGCGGCGGCTTACTGAAGCTGTTGCTCCGCCACGGTCTGCTGGACGCGTCAGCCCAGCTGGTCCTGCGGCTCATGGACGCCCTCACCCTCGGCCGTAATGCTGAAGAAGTGGGTACTCGATTAAGGTTTTCCGAGCTTTTCACTGTGTTACCTATTTATTGTGACATTATGACCCATTTTTATGTGCTATCACAAAGATGTCGTTGATATAATTTACTCTAATTCCCCCGCTCCTCCTTTACCATGAAAGTCTGTACACCCCCGCTTTGGAAGCGCAAGGTCTCCGTAATAATTATTCAAAGAAATCCTGTATGATGTCAGCAACTCTGATGGAATAATGATACACAAATCTCGTTTGTTATTTTCTCCAGTTTTAAATGTTTAACTTTTTTTCATTTGTTTGTTTTTTCTTTCTTTCTTATGCTTTTTCCCATGTTATTAAATTGTTGTTACCCTAGCTATGTTTATGATGAAAATTGTCTTGCTACTGAATAGTAAGACTCATTAGTTGAAACACGGCATTATACCGATTTATATTTCTCTGTTCCTGTTCATAGTTCGGCCTTAGTGGTGCCGTGCACAGCAACAGCCCTCCTGTGTGGGTCCCGTATTCGGCCCTGGACCAACTTTTGCTGGAGCTGCAGGCCAACTCCCACCACTCTCACTACGAGCAGGTCAGAGCTTCACTTCACTCTTTACTGAACGTACACTGTATAGTAATTAACTTCAAATTATGATTACAATTTGACAGAAATGCGACGGTACTCTTGATTCCTGCTACGGCATTACACTACTCTAAAAAAATATGCAGCTACGGTCATCCTTCTGAATCCTTGCTCGAGTACTTGCGCATCAACTTAGAACCCACAATATTTTTAGTAAAGGAAACTCTAAGTAATTTCTTGATTCTGTCACTGAAGGAGATCATGTTTCGATGAACGTGGTTACTTGTAGTTTTCTTCACTTTTTTAATTCTTGGTCGATTTGCAATTCCTAGCGAACTAATAATGAACGAACTCCACAATAGCCACGCCTTCCCAAGGTCTCAATTGTTGTTTTGGTTCTTAAGCCTTTCGTTACGAAGCCAATAAATGAGTCATATTTAAACGTATTCAGATTATTAATTTAAGTATTGACTGCGCAGATGCTATCAGTGCTACAGCAACGGCTGGACAGTTACCGCAATGCCCTTGCACGCGTGTCCAACGACCGCTTGCTTCTTGCTGCTTGAACCATCTGTCACGTAAGTGGTTAATTGCTTTTACCTTCGTCATAAAGGTAACTAAGCTTAAACTGAGGCGCTATTGAATTAAGAGTTTTACTTGTACCGCATCTCAATTATCAATGACCGTAACGTCACGTAAAATCAGTTCAGTTGATTATATTTTGGAGCCTGAAATTGATTATCTTATTGATGCAGCTTACTGACAGCGTGTCGTTGAGCAGGTGATCTTCACATTTGTTACGGTAATTTCTTCGTCACGGCTCCCAAAACTTACTACAGCGCTGGACCCGTCGCTGAAGTTGACGATGACTGCCAAGTTTTAATAACATAAATTTAACCCGTTTACTGAATGCCGTTTTATTGATAGCCTGACTAAATGAAAAAGCTGAAGTAGATAGTGTTAACATATATTATGGATAGTGTAGTTGTTGAAGGAAACTTTCTGAGGAAAGTAATGATGTTAGTAAGAGTTGGCATGAAGAGCACTCACTTAATTATTAGAGTTCAGAAGAACATGGAAAGAATGATGACAATGATGCAGTCAGATCAGAGTCATAGAAGGCTTTATTATTTGATGATGCATCACGAAACGGAATAGCAACACTTACATCAGAAGTTTAAAAATTGTTTTTCGAGCAACATAAGTGCGCTGCTATGTAATAGTAGGGTCGTAAGCGGTCACTAATTCAAAAGTTACGGAAATAGATGATGTATTCAGTAGAAAACGGCTTTCCATACGCTTTAATACATCAACTTAATTCGCTGCAATAGTAAACTCTCGCCCACCAAAGGTTGATGAGCCTGGTAATTTTACGATTAGCTCTTGGTACTGATTGATAAGTTAGCTGGAAAATGGGAACTCGAATTCTAGTCGATACAACATTTCCCTTCAAGAGTATCGCGTTTCCGCCAGAATTGGAGCGTTCAAGATGGGTTCATGAGGAGCGAGACTAGTCGCTCTTCTCCTTCCTCTTCATCTGGTCGCGGAGGGCGGCGAACGCGATGAGCCTCTCATCCCTCCACTGGCGACGCTCCTGGTGCAACAAACAAACAATATTGCAAGGCTGACATCAGCGAAATCTTAATTGTTACATTTTCAGAAACTTTTCTTTGTGAAGTCGAAGAACCTGACTGCATTTCTCGTTTTCGAGACTAGTCTTTTCTGGAAATATTTCGATGAGACCCCGGCAGTATTGTCAAAATCAAACAATCAGAGAATAAGTCTGTAACGGTACGTAACTTCTACTCCATTTGTGCGCAATTAGAGAAGCATAGGAACGATCGTGGCATTCTAAAGCCGGTGTTCAAGTGTTTACCTTGAGTTTATCGAGCGGGAAGAGCTGGTCCAGCTGCTGGATGATGGGCTCAGCGGCTGGCAGGCTCCAGTCAGCGGGTCCCTTGAGGTCGGCGCTCACTGAGTGCATGATGTGCGAGTAGCGCTCGAGGTAGCTGCGCATGCCTGCACTCGGCACCAGCGACCGTTAGTTCGTAAATAGCACTTTGTCACTAACCTCATAGTCTAACTACTTCCAGTATTACTTAAGTTTATATTTATCTGTTCATCGAGACAAGTTCGGAAAAACAGTTGACACGCGTATAACATCTACATCGGACATCCTTACAGGTCTCCTAATCATGTTCCACATACCTTCTATTTATGTGAAAAAAATTATGAATGTCATTCATTCAAATAGGAAATCGAAGTAATAAACACGAAATCATATCGCGGAATAGTGGTGCACGCGAGCTGCCTGTCTGATACTTCTACTCACTAATCATACTGCTTTTACACTTAAGTCTTGATTTTTTTTAAAGCCGTGCTCATGCATGGAACAATCGAAAACGCGTGAAATGTTCCCATGATTGCACGCCTCACCTTCAGCATTAAGCACGGCAGTTTCGAGGGGCCCCATCCAGGCGTACCGCGGCCCCAGCCCAAACTTCATGAGCTTGTCGACGCCGTCCGCTGACAACACTCCGTCCTTGATCAGGTGGTAGCATTCGTTCAGGATCGAGTACCTTGCAAACAAAACATTCTATTGCAGTACCACATGTGGAAGGTTAAGCCAATTTACCTACGAGTTGCTACTCCTTTATTTACGAACTGAATTCAAGAGACAAGAATTAACGTAGAGTCACGGTACTCTGACTCCAATTTAAAAATTTTCATTTTTTCACTATTCTTATGAAACTAGGCGTCGATATTTCAGCTACAGTTTATTTGAATGACAGCTCACTGGATCCTGTTAGAACCAAAGCCAGGATGTTCTTTCTGGAAAACCACAGGTTCTTGTCCGATCTCGACCATGATTTCTTCGGTTTTTACTAGGATTTCTGGCGATGTCCAAGGACTTGGCACAACCTCGACCATAGGAACGAAGTAAGGCGGATTCGTCTGCAAGAAATCAATACTTTTTCTCGAGAAGTGTCGATGGAACAATTTCAACCATAATCGTGCTGATGACTTTCAACCTTCACGAAAATTCGAAAAGTTTTTGAGTAAGAGTCCGACCTTTCGATGAGTTGATTTGGTCGAAGCCCATTTCCATCACTAAAACTTACTTTTTTCATCGAATTTTCGATTTTAGTATAAAGCTTGAGAATTCTTAGTATGACTACTTACAAGAATTGCTCTACCATTACACAATATTTAATATCACTCGTGATTGCAGTCCTACCGCTCATTTTCGGTCATATTCATTTTGCATCACGCAAAGTGTCGTGCGCCTCGTACGATGAGTACAGTTTAGGATAATGTAGTTTCTCATATTGTGTCCATTTCGATCTTGTGTCGATGACGTACTTAAACTTTTCGTCCGGGGAGCATGAAATCGTAAATACTTTTGATCGGAACTAACATCAAACGCTACGTACATGAAAAAAATACTCAGAATTTCAAAGCGAAATTAATTCCAAGTAAAACCAACATAATTTCATTTAAGCATTTTCAATAAAATCGTGGTAAATATATATTTTTATTGCTTTCAATTTTTAGCTTATTTACCATTTAGGCAAACCAATGATATAGATACAGAATATCTCAAAACTGGTGCCCCGCTAACTCGGAATTTCCCAACTTCAGTTGGTCAATTTCAACTGCGACCAGGAATGCGTACTGCACGCATGCTTGTTTAGAGCATAGTTCCGAAAATTTTCTGATCTTATTCGCCCTTTATTCATGATGACGGAAAGTTTCATCATCACAATTTCATCAATAATTGTTTATCTATTTAAGTGAATGTAGATGAAAACATCACCTGCCATTCCATTGCCTGCATAGCGCGGTCAGGCACCACGCACAAGAGAAATTAAATGTACAATGTGAAGCGTTTGCGGTCCGTTTTCCCGTAAACCAAGTCTCTTTACTTCACAAAGATTTGTATAGTTTCTTCTTAGTGAAATTTACCATACCAATTCACACCCGCTATCTCGATAGTAAAATAGTTTGCGAAGGGAACTCGCCCCGTCGCACTCACGGGATGAGCGACGACGCAGTTCGCTCCGTGCTTCAGCCCGCCCATGAATGACGATGGCACCATCGTAGACACCGACGAGGCAAGGATGGTGTCCTCACCCACGATTGCGTCTAACTCTTTGAAAACCTGCAAAGTTCGCATTGAAAGTAAAGTTATCATATCGACACTTAGAAAAGCTATTATTAGTTCATATCTCAATTTCAGCATCTTAGACTCAGAAACGATTAGACCTATGCTACACATAACTTTGCCTTCAACGTCGACCATATATCCTGCAGTAGCGAAGGATACCATAAACCACGTTACAAGAATTGAAACTCACATTCTTTTTAAGTTCCAGTCGCTCAGGAACACATTCTTGAACATACACAGCTCCCTCCACAACTTGATTGAGGCTCGTCACACCTGAAAAGGCAGGTGTGACTCAAAATTCAATAATTTACAAGCAGCGTCGAAGTACAACTTCACGTAAAAGGGTCCTAAGCACAGTGGTCTAGTACATCTCTGATAAGCTGCAGCGCTTAATCATAGCATTTATTTTCATTTCAAACTGATGAATGCGGTTCAATTATTAATTTTAACACGCAGGTTAATATTTGGTGCAGTGCGCATGCATACGTACCTTTGATACGTCCAAACTGAACCTCGGCAGAGTCAGCGCCGCGCAACATTCCGTTTTTCTCGAGAGTGAGAAGTTGTTGTTTGATTTCTTGTAGGGAATCCGTCACCTGAGCGATAATAGAACGATCAATTTACACGGTAGATCAGCGAACGATCAATTTACACGGAATATCAATTTACACGGCGTACATTTATGTAGATATTTATTTTTCAGCTGTGCGCTTGCTCTTGAATATAGTATTACAAAACTAATTTTAATAACATATGATGATGGTCAAATAATAATCATTTATTAGTTTGATTTATAATGAAGTTTCAGCAGTCACGACAGTCAATTCTCTAACAGGAGAGCAATCGTTTAGAAATGCTGCAACACATTCTGTTTCGACAATTCTGCATGACTGAATCATTTGAATTTGACAGAAAATTTACTATTGGTAATTCAATAATTATAGGAACTGAATTATCTGGAACTGCTCATGGTCCGTAAAGTCCTCGCCTGCTGCTGAAGTATGTCGTACAAGACGACCTGGTAGCCTGCGGCAGTGAACAGCATCGCCCAGCTGCGACCGATCAAGCCACTGGCACAACAAATTGATTATTGATTATTATTAACAATTTTATTCTCGGCATCACGACCAATACACATGAACGATTCTCATCATTTCAATAATATGTAAGTATAATAACATAATAATTTCATTCAAAATAATTAATACTGATAAATAAGAAAACTTGTCAACACATCTTAAACTGGAGTGCTCGATTATTCAATCGGTAACATTATTGACTTGGAAACACATAAACTACTGAAATTGATTTTGTTCAAAACTTGTGATCTTACCTTCCAACAATTCCAATTTTTTTTCTTGCTTCCATTATGCCTGGGATAACCTGTTCTTAAGCCGCGGTTGGAGAAAACGAACACAGAAAGATTAAATAAACCGGTAAAATAAACAGATCATTTGCAACGTATAGAGGGAGACATGTCCGGGTTTAAAATATAAAACCTCAATTAAAACTGATTTAAGTTTGACCTTAGATAAAATAACTAAATAATTAAAAGATATTTTTAATAAAACATTTTTGACGATGCTATATGCGTACAAAAGCGTCAAAAAGTCCCCGCATGTATACAAGTACCGTACGTCGAAAAGTATTCTACAAGTACCCGTAAGTAAACAAGCGATAACATTAACAACATTGTTGCGACTTAAACACCAATGCGCTCAGTTTCATGTCGCTCTGCATGGAGCGCTGGAGCTGACACCGACACACCTACATCTGCTCACTCTGATTGCACTCTGACGGTTGAGGCTTGAACTTGAACGATGATTCTGCTCTGAAGGTTTGATTTAACATAACATATTGATCTCGGCGCTGAAGTGTAGGCCTGATGTGGCCTGTCGCCGATTCTTTTCCTTTTCGTGCCTTGTTCACAGAAGATCTAATATCGTTTCATTTGACCGGATCTTTTCATGACTGACGATAGTTTCAAGTAGCTACTAGACTTCCACCGGGTTCGATATGGTGCTAGGCATTTCAAATCTAAACATATATTTTTACATAGCTTCATCTAGTCTGTTCTTGAACGCGTTCATACTTGGAGCAAAATTAGATATTTTAGCATATTGTCTCATTTTCAGTGTGTTAATCCACTCGTGAACCTTTTTAGACTTGAATAATCACATAAAATCATCAAGATTCTTATGAGAATCTTTTCATTTATGCACGTATGATGTGATGTGAAAGCGGATATTCTACCGATAATGATAGAAAAATTCCACCATTAAACCAGAGAGTATTCACCAAAAGGCAAAGATTGCAGCACAAACCGCTGCAAGATTTATAATTTTTTCGGAAGGGAAAAAACACATCACCTTCACACGTGAGCTAAATGCGAGTTTATTTGGTTATGACCGGCACTTGTAAAATAACTAGCTAGAGCGGCTATTGTCAGATCACTGCTGATTGTCGAAATTTCAATTTAATTGCATTGGGAAATGCGTAATTTTGAATATCGGACACAAAATAACCACAGTATTAAATAATATTGAATATTTTTAGAGAAAGTGCCCGAGCGGAGAGAGTGGTGCCGTATATTTAAGCGGACCAACTCTTGCAAGCAAGTAACGTCAGTCGATCTGTACTTGTCAAGCAGAGCCGTCCATATCTGGCCAGCATGCGGGGAGAAATTGGGAAACTGTTACAGCTTCGGCAGACTTTCACTCGGTTTAGTTAAAAGATCGCAGAGAAAAATCAGGTTTTGCCATTCATGAAGTTTTGAAAATTATTAATACGGATTGTTTTACCGTTAAATCGTTCACGAACGATGGTGCCGCTAACAGACGTTTGTCTTTGAATCGCACGACGAAATATTTTCTCGTCAAACACGATCATTTCAGACATTTCACGATCATTTCACATTGTGCACTGCGTTTTTCATACGAGCCATTGCCAGTTAAAAAAAGTTATCATTTCGATTCTGATTACTGAAAGTGACAGCCTTGTATGAATTGGGTAATATTGAGAATTCACATCCCAACACGAATTAGTCTATGAATCTTCACTACTAACTGACGGCTTATTAAAATTCAGGGGCCAGTAATACTTCAGGAAATAGATCATAAATTCGCATTTAATCGCCACGCAAATTATAGATCATAATTAAATTATGATCAATAGATCATAATTTAATCTCCACTCAAATTCGCCACGCAGCAACTCACAGCTGCCACGCATCACCTCACAGCTGCCACGCATCACCTCACAGCTGCCACGCAGCACCTCACAGCTGCCACGCATCACCTCACAGCTGCCACGCATCACCTCACAGCTGCCACGCATCACCTCACAGCTGCCACGCATCACCTCACAGCTGCCACGCATCACCTCACAGCTGCCACGCATCACCTCACAGCTGCCACGCATCACCTCACAGCTGCCACGCATCACCTCACAGCTGCCACGCATCACCTCACAGCTGCCACGCAGCACCTCACAGCTCCGCCTGTCGTCAGCCACAAAACCAGTCGCTTTTAGCCGGGTTCAAGTTTAAGAGATTTATCCTTAAGGTCTTCCTAACTACAAAGCAATTCAAAACATTTATTTGTGCATCTGAATTATATTGTAGGTTGCAGGAAGCTCACAACAGGCAGGTTAAATTTCTCCACGCCCCATCGAAGTTTCCACATCCTCGATGTTTCCGTTATGAACTCGACCTACCTTGTCAAATCGTCTTGTGTTAGGCAAATTAATGTATTAGTTCCTGGGGACAGAGTTCGTCGAATGGGTTTTTGACACTCGAGGTGAACTGAAAGACGCAGTGAAGCACTTATGGACACTATATTTATTTTACGGACGCGTGACCAAGGCGGGGTGAGTGTAAGCAATTAGTAATAATAATAGCGGTTTCAGCGTTTATTAGGCCGTAGGCCTGTCGCCGATTCTAACATCGCAGAACATTCACAGCATTTTGCGGTCTCGAACTCGCAACTCACTGCTACAATTATGCTTCGTTTAACCGCCCGGCCTCTTTGCCGATTCTGACCAGAAACTGGCGCACAGAGCTGGGATCGAACCCGCGCCTCTCTGCGCCAAAGGCTTGGCTCCTGCCAGCAAACGTGATGCTCGAGAGGCTGGGTGGTGACTGCATATCGGCTCTGAAGGCACTGCAGAGAACCGCTAGTGTGTTGTCACTGAAAGTGACATACGCAATCAATGTAACAGCTAAGAGAGATGACGTTAATAGGTGGGTTGGTGCCGAACAACCTCATGGATCCTCTCCCAAAGAAGTAATTGTATCCGCAATCTCACTATTCGATTTCTTGTAACTGGTGAGTCCCTTGAAGCTCACCAGAAATGAATAGTTCCAGCAGCTGCACGAAGACCCTCCAAGCTAGAGCTAGAAAAGTTCTTCCTGTTAACACCGGCAAAAAATAGTGCGGTAGATCGGGACCTTGCTACTCCTCAGCAACGTTTGTGCTCCGAAAAAATTTCACTCATTAGGTAAGAAGCTGCACAATAGAGCCACTGATAAAGCAATAGATAACCCCATTTATCAGAAGGCTCTTTGTTATGATAGGTTCACGCATCGTTCATCTCTTATCGTATTGAGTATAGCCCCGTAATGTGCAGCAGGGATCATTTGATTCTACTTGTGCGCTGCGTCAGAGGTCGTAAAATGAAGCATATCATCTGTCAGCGTTTAGAAAACAATGCAGCCGAGGTTCTAATTCACAATGAGTTGGCACGATAGTTCTAGGACTTATCATACGACACTTCTTATTAACAAAAGAGCAAAAACCTGTCAAATCTTTCTAACTAATTGCATCAAGTTCATGTCAACTAAACCATATTGCACTGAAGAGCTCACGGTCGGAGAAGTTTAGTTGTGTGCCACGCACAAGTTGGCCAGTAACAGGCGAAAGTTCTTATTTTCACTGCTTAATGAGATATACTCGAGGATTTCAAGTATCTTGGTAATATCAACTCTGAATCTTGCTATTATTCGTGTTTTTTTAATCAATTGTGGACGATGAATGGACATGTAGACAGGAACGAACGCCAAGAAAGGTTTTGCTGACACGAGACGTCGACCATCGCGCCAACGAAACTAATTGCATGACGGCCATCCTCCCTGCCAGAGCACCGACTGCCGGCTTTCATGAAAAAAAGTTTATTATCAACAGGAAGATACAACGAGCTTTGTGCTGATAAGCTCGCTGATAAAGAAGAAAGGTTTAATTAATCAAATAATGAAAGCTTCAACATTTTATTCATTTCATAATGGAAATAAAAAGAACACAAAAGAATAGTATATTAAATGATCTTATTTCTCGACTGAATCTATTACACTGACAAGAAATAGAACAGCGCAAGAAGCAGCGCTAGGTTCCAGAGGAGGCACGCATTCGTGCGGGACTAGTCGCTCTTCTCCTTCCTCTTCATCTGGTCGCGGAGGGCGGCGAACGCGATGAGCCTCTCATCCCTCCACTGGCGCCGCTCCTGGTGCAACAAACAAACAATATTGCAAGGCTGAACTTTAGAAACATTAACAGGGCTTAACCTTTTTAGAAACTTTTCTTTGTGAAGTGTTAGAACGCGACTGAATGTCTCGTTTTTGGAACTAGACTGTTCTGGAAATATTTCGATGAGACACCGGCGGAATTGTCATAATCAAACAATCAGAGAACAAGTTTGTAACGGCACGTAATTTCTACTCCATTGGTGCACGATTATAGTAGCATTGGAACGATTGTGGCGCGCTTAAGCCCGTGTTCAAGTGTTTACCTTGAGTTTATCGAGCGGGAAGAGCTGGTCCAGCTGCTGGATGATGGGCTCAGCAGCATTATAGTGGCATTACAGCCGGTGTTCAAGTGTTTACCTTGAGTTTATCGAGCGGGAAGAGCTGGTCCAGCTGCTGGATGATGGGCTCAGAGGCCCCAGCCCAAACTTCATGAGCTTGTCGACGCCGTCCGCTGACAACACTCCGTCCTTGATCAGGTGGTAGCATTCGTTCAGGATCGAGTACCTGTCAAAAAAAGGCAAAACATAGAAACCTATGACGTACTTCTTTTTTCAATGTAAAATTCATCTTGAATAACAAACTATAGGCATACAAATAAACTCATACGGCAGACATCTCAGACGTGAAAGTCATCTCCGATGAAAGTGTTATCGATTCTAATTCGTCGTACAGTAACATCATTGAGATTAGATTGAATACCAGTGAATCGTCAAATCACGCTTGTATTTTTATTTTAATGAAATATCGTCTTACTGAATTCTGTTCAAACCGAAGCCAGGGTGTTCCTTCTTGAACACGATCGGTTCTTGCCCAATTTCGGTCATGATGTCCTCGGTTTTAGAGACAACGGCTTCTGAGGTCCATGGACTCGGAACAATTTCAACCGCCGGAACGAAGTAAGGCGGGTTCACCTGTAACAAGTGAAATAACCCATATATAAGCCAACGGAAATGCATAAAATAATTACTGATTTAGTACCCAATACTTCATTATTGCTTTTCTGCGATGACGCCAAGTGCGACAGCGAGGAACAATGAATACAAATGTTTTAATATCATAGATACATTGCATAACTCCGGCCACTGTTATAATACTGTTATAATGAAGAAAGTCTTATGAAGAAAGATTGAAGATTATGAAGCTTCCCAGTCTCCGTTATCGTCGCCTGCGTGGGGACCTCATTGAAGTATACAAGTATACTCATGGTTTGTACAAGGTCCCAGAAGGATTACTAGAATTGGAAACAAGAACCAACACCAGGGGCCACAGCTATAAGCTAAAGAAACTGCGGTGCAACTTATCCACGCGACAACATTTCTTCTCGCTTCGAGTCACCGACATGTGGAACAGCCTCCCTGAAGATATCGTTGACGCTCTGATTATGAACGCGTTCAAGAACAGACTAGACATGGCCATGCATGAGCATATGTTTAGTCTTAAAATGCCTCGTACCCTACGGAACAACTGATATCTAGAAGCGATTTTAAATCTACCGTCCGTAAGGCCAGTCTAGTCAAGAAAAGTACAAGAATCGGCGACAGGCCTATCCAGGCCTATTCTTTAATGCCGAAGATACTATACTATACTATACTATACTATAATGAAATCAACAGAATTAAACCCATAACTAAGCAAACAAATGTGTGACAGCACATCGACGAAATTCTAACAATATCTTTCATTGAATTCTTGGATTTGCTGTAGCTGTATTAATGCCGTTTAATTTACACATAAGAAAAACATTCATTTACAAACTATTAATTGTAGCAACACATTTTTACGGTAAAACATTCATCAAAGTCGAGTATACAATACTAATAATAAAAGCGGTTTCGTCGTTTATTAGGCCGTAGGCCTGTCGCCGACTCTTAACATTATAGAACATCCACAGGTAGTTGCGGTCTCAGACACGCAACTTACTGCTCCAATTCTGCTGCTTCTTAACCGCCCGGCCTCTTTGCCGATTCTGACCAGAAACTGGAGCACAGAGCTGGGATCGAACCCGCGACTCTCTGCGTCAATCTTGGTACTCTGAACTGAACCGCTGTGGTAATTCACACTAGAGGTGACCTCACACCTCCGACTCACAGGGTGAGAGACGAGGCAGTTCTGCGCGTGCTTCAAGCCGCTCATGAAGGTCGAAGGCACCATCGTGGATGTCGATGATGCCACGATGGTTGCGTCGTCCAAAACAGCGTCCAGTTGCTCGAACACCTGCACGTTCATCAAACTCCATTACCGAGCGTGTCTCTTACTCAGCTATTACCACCTCCGATACCATCCCTATACACGCAAACAACGGTCCAACGTATTGATAAATCATTATACCAGTATCGGTCAACAACCCAAGCATAGGGCAGACAGACAAATTCACAGGCGCAAGCACAAATTTCCACTAGATAACAATTACATCCTAGCCGCAACATTTGACATCTTACGCGTCATAAAACAGCTCAAAAAAATTCTTAAGCCATGAGGCCAGACAACATCTAAACATTTATCTTAAGGTCCGCATGGTATCACCACTCTCACAAATATAGCCAACTTTCCATACGCTCACTGCATCATACCATCAATCTGGAAAACTGGTAAATCACAACTCTCCTGAAACCGAACAAACCCCCACACTGAGGCAGCCTCCCACAGGCCCATTACATTCTCTGCACACCATCCAAAGTAATGGGGTGCCTCCTATTTTCCATAAACACGCCCCATATTTCCTTCTCTCCCACACAACACGGTTACAGAGCCCATCACTCCACCACCACACTCCTCACTAACCTCACACAACGTATACAAGATGGCATAAACTCCTAGCGCCCCGCGCACCGCACACTCATGATTACAATAGACATTAGCAAAGCTTTTGATGCCATCCCTTGCCTCCTACTCGCAGACAAAATATACAATATACAGCACTACATAACAACACCAGACGCTGGTTTGCCAACTACATAACAGGCAGACAGTCATCGCAAACTACAATGGCAAATAATCGCGCACAAAGAACATACCGAACGGAGTACCACAAAGATCAAGCCTCTCACCAACCCTTTTCAACCTTTACATGCATGACATTCCAGCCCCACCAGACAACATTCACATTTCATCTTGCGCAGACGACGTCACAATTACATCAACACACAACAATGCCAACACATGTTTCACACATGTATAACCCTACATAACACAACTAGAGGGCTGGCTAGCACACAACAGACTCAAAGTAGCCCCCACAAAATCAACAAGCACACTAGTGAATCACTCTTCATTAAGTGTTTAAATGAAGTAATAGCATCAATGAAGGTAATTAAGTCGAGGTAAATGTCATTTCATCAATAATACGTGATTATAAGAGAAATTTTCTTTTTATAACGTATTCTTATTTTTTTACATGCTATCAAGAGACTGCATCAAAAGAGTAAATATTGATGAGTAAATCTCCAAGAGTTTTAAATAAAGTTTAGAGTTGTTGAACAAAGTTAGTTCGAGACAGACCTTTCTTTTCAAAGACAGTTGCTCCGGAACACATTCTTGCACGTACACTGAACCTCTAACGCACTCCTCCAAACTTGTTCCTCCTGTGGGGAAAATATGGCTGACAAAGTAATGTTACAACTATTTATGATATTTATATTATGTATATGTATGTAACTATTGATGAGCCTTTTTAAAGCCACATGAATAAATTACTCATTCAATTGATTGAGCGCTTGTCGTTTCGATAGCGTAGGAGCCATTTTGTTCAAATTGACCAAAAACGAGGACAGTGCGATGCTAGTGGTGTTCGTACGCGGTGACAGTGGTGGCAGCAAACTACAAATTTCAAATGACCTTGACCTTACCTTATGATGAGTTCGGGACTTCCTGCAAATGCTAACAGCGAATAAGATTATTCCCAGAGATAATAATTATCATGTTACTGGAATCGGGTTTAGATTTACAGGGTCTCCCGTAGCCAATAGCGCTTATACACGAGGCCAAGGGCATCAATACTGTCGCTTAATATTTGAAAATAGTTCTAACCGCCACTTCGGTCCCCGACATTGAAATTAAAAAGAAGTCTTTTATTTTGCTTCTTCGGTCCCTCCCTAAAGAAGCAAATAAAATTCGCACGCGTAACAGCCTCCCTGTGATAGCATCGTTGACGCTCCGAGTATGAACGCCTGCAAGAACAGACTAGACGAAGTTTTGCACGAGCATATGCAAGTCTTGAAATGCTTAGCACCGCACGGACCTTGTAATGTCCAGCAGCTATCACAATCAATCGTCAGTTATAGAAAGATCGGGTTCAAAAAACTGGATCCATTGTGGAATCGAGTCACGAGAAGTAGGTACAAGAATCAGCAACAGACCATGGACCTATTTCTTCAGCGCGCCGACACTTCTATTATATTCAACCTGTAAAGTCCCGGTCACACGTGCCCAATACGCAGCTCCTTAATTTGACGTGCATGGGTGACGACACGAGCCTGAGGTTCGGTGCAGTATTAACAGCCCGTGTAACTACGAGTCACTGATACAACTACGACTCCTGCATAAGGGCCAAGGGCGTAACTATCTACAAGTAACGGTCACAAGTTTGCAATATCGATGTACGGCCAATAAAAACTCTACGGCCGCGTCGGTCGTGACTGAGCCGAGAGACAACTTGAGAGGCAACGAGTCGTACGAAAATTATAAGCATCAATAAAGTTGACAAATAGCGAGCACTGCGCGCCACGGGAGTACGGTCACGGCCAACAGCAGCAATGATGAGGCATTGAGCAGGGAAAATCCTAGTAGTAGATATGTACGGTCATTTTTGACTTTACGGCCCTGCAACAGTGAGCCAAATTTAGAAGTTGCGAGACGAAAAACGGTCATGAGAACGGAGCGACTACGTCACGGCGACCGTGGGGACACGACATCATTGCCGCAGTACGGCTACGCCGTACACTGAACGTTGGTCGGTCACTAAGTCTCTGGCCTAGTACCCAACCGTAGATACGGTCGGGTACGGCAGTCGTACGTACCACTCTAAGCGGGTCTCCAAACTTTTTTCACCAAGGGCCATGAGCAAGCTTTCTGAAACCTTCGCGGGCCAGAGAAGTTCGTGGGCGGAGGGAAGGAGGGGAGTTGCACTAATTACGAATAAAATGCGAGTCAAAATTAGCGCACGAATAACCATTTTATTCTGCAATTACATCTTAAGGAGCAACTATACACAATCTTTCGTCGCTTATAGTATTTGTTTAATATTAAAGCTTAATCTTTTATTGGCGTGATATGCAAGGCTCTTATATACAGAGAGATTATAATACTTATGGATATAATTATGCAAATTGTGCATTCAGCTTTGTGCAAATCTTCTTGGGAATGAAGCTTGAGTTTCTCGCTCAAACTTTTCACAACATGGAAAGTGCCTGAAACAGTTCCTCATCAACTGGGTCTCAAACAAAAATAGCTTTTGTCGAAACGCCTTCACTTGGGTATACATGTTTCGCAAAAGTGCGCTGTTTTGCCTTGCAATCTAAGATTGAACTCATTCATGTGTGATGTCAGATCCACAGAAAAAGTTCATTTCCAAAGCCATATTCGTCATTTTTGAGTAGCGGCTGCCCGGCTGGGGTCGATTCTTTTCATTCAGGAAAATTTCAATTTCTGTTCGGAGTTCAAAAAATCGTGACAACACCTTGCCACAGACACCAGTCACGCCCATTTACTGTTTTTAGTTCATGCTTAACCAGAAATAAAAGCCACGCTCGATTTTTGTACACATTATGTTGAACTACGAGATATCCTCGGCGGGCCGGATGGAACCAAGCCATGGGCCGGATCCGGCCCGCGGGCCGTAGTTTGGAGACCGCTGCGGCGGTCTAAGTGACTACTGTGGGAGGCCCAGTGGTTACAGTTCAGAGTACCAAGATTGGCGCACAGAGGCGCGGGTTCGTTCCCAGCTCAATGCGCCAGTTTCTGGTCAGAATCGGCGAGGAGGCCGGGCGGTTAAGCACAACAGAATTTGAATCAGTGAGTCGTTAGTTCGAGTCCGCAACAAGTTGTGAAAGTTCTGCAATTTTAATTGATCGGCGACAGGCCTACGGCCGTATAAAACGCTGAACCCGCTGTTATGATAATGTATAAGATATATAAGATAATATACAATTCTCTGCGTGAGAACTAAAAGTTAAGAGTGAAGTTCTTAGGAATAGAAGTCAAATTCGAAAACCTATTAAATGAGCATTTCTTTCATAAGTTATTTCGTTCCCGTTATGATTTGCCTTGACTTCACCCCAATATAATTCTAAATGTAAGTCGCGTTTCATTTCGAACCTCAAACACGGAAGTTGATAAATTCGAAACTTGACCAGAACTACCAATTCATCCTGAGATTCAAGAGAACAGACGAAACTTTCATCAGTTGAAACATAGCATGGCGAAGAAGAAGAATAAACAGAATTAATGCGTAATCTTATTGAACGCATACCACTTAAGGTTACATATGATAATGCTAAGTATGGTCATAAAGATGCAACCAAAAATACACCCGTTGTCCCGACAAAAAGTACACGTTTAAAAGAGGTACCGGAGATCCCACTGAATTGTACGTCCGCAGCGTCAGACCCTCTCAGCATGCCGATCTTCTCCAGGTTTTGCAGCTGTCGCTGAATATCTTTCAGAGCGTCAGCCACCTAGGCAGATTAATATACTTCAATGTTGACATATTAGAGCAGGAGTAAACGTATGACTAGAAAGAACGCAAACACCAGCGTCAGATTTTGTAAACATTGACGTTTCGAATAGCTAAGATTCCACTGCAAGTCTTGAAAGATAGAAAAAAATAGCTTGAAATTTATCTTTTTATTGAAGGACCTTGCGCGGGAATTTGATCCTTTACACAAAATTCCGAATTCTGAACTCTTGCATGGCTTAGAAGTTGGATGAACTGACTCAGTCAATATCGACATGCAGTACACCGCGGGTGAGGCCCGAGTTTGACGCTCGGCAGTTGCAGGGAATTATATGCATGTCACTGCAGTGCTTTGACTAGAACACTCCGGGCACAAAAATCTGATCAGCATTGACGTGTGCCTACATGATCGTATTTTGTTCAAGCAATAATAGAATGGAGCCGTTGATTAGGTAATACAGGTAACAGAGTCCGGATAATTAATAGGAACACCAATTATTAGGTATTGCATCTGTGTCACAATAAGCAGGCTTGACATTGAATAGGAATTTTGTTGAATGACGCACCAGTTTATCGTCGATGTCGTACATGTAGACTTTGAAACCCGCGGCCGTGAAGAGCATCGCCCAGCTGCCTCCTATCAGACCACTGCGGGTATAGGAATAGAATGAAAATCTCTCACTTCCTCTGACGAATTTGAATTAAATGCCGTCATTGCCATTTAATTCGAATGAAAACCTGTCACTTCCATTAAAGAATAAGAATCAAAATCTTTCATAATCGTTGAATTAGATTGAAAACATGTCGCTTCGATTTATGAATTAGAACGAAATCCTTTAGTTTTCGATACCCTTTAGGTTTAGGCTCTGATAAATTAGGATGAAACCTGTTAAATTAGAATAAAAACTTTTCAATCTGTTCCGTTCTCAAAGTGGAATCAAACCATGAAAGTTCCCTTGCAGAATTGGAATTAAAGCTTGTAAATTACGCTAAATAGGAAAGAAAATATGCCCAATACATCAATGAGATGAGCTGAGAAAGTTTCATTTACTTTAAAAATTTACAGCAGAATCACCCTTAACGTCTTCTTCCGAGAAGCAATGAATGATGCATTACGCATCTCGAAACTGAATAAAAATCTAACCTCATGTCTACCTACGGTGAGTCCTTATGCTATGAGCAATATTGGAAACAGGTAAAATATACTTCGAGACAGAGAAAACTTTTGGTCTACTGACGGTAATTAAGGTGCTTGTACACGGGGACAATACTGGCGGCAAGTAGATCAGAAAAATGCCAAATGCCTGCCAACTCTCGTTAACTTCAGGCCTGTAGATGAGAATCATACGATTCAAAATGAATACAGTTGGTGGATCTGCCGGTAATTTACCGGCGGTAAAACATTACCATCTACCTACTAGTACCTAGTATGTTTACGGTATGAAATTTGTATCAATTTTCGTTATCAGTCATTTATCTACGCTTAACGTCGGTGACGGTGAACGTTGAAAGTTGAATTCGAGACGACTCGAATTTGTTCAAAGTGTTAGGACACATCCGTCAATAAGTATGACAGACCCAATACGGCAACAGCGATTGGAGTTCCAATTTGAATTGCTCGTACGCCAATAGCAGACGACATACACACTGATCGATAATTATTCATATGCGAACGTTGTATCAAGTACATATAAAGAAAATACAAAAACTGAATGCTCCGATCCTTGCCTCAAGATGCTACATTCGGCCTTTCTCCACGTTACTCCCATGCCTGATAACGCTATCACCCCAAGCCTTCAGATGCAAGAGGCTGCGGCAACGGTAGGACAATTGTTGCAATACCAACTTCGCCCTCTAATCGCACTATCGGTGGTACACAACTCAGTAACAACGACGCTCGCGCTGTGCTGCTTGAATAATTTGTTGCCATTGTACCATGCTTCAATAAATTACCATTCCAAGACTGCTTATTAAAATGCCATAGAACAGAATTGTAACCTATGCAGTTTCTATTCTTAAGTTGAAATTTATATTTACTAGACTACAATTAGGCTCTAGTCGCTTATCCTTTAAATATAAATAATTGGTTTTTATGGAAGTCGTTTTGCATCACTTAGCAAGTTTAGTTGTCTCTAATCGATGACAAAATAAACAGATTAAAATAAAACTACCTTAGGAAAAGTTTAATAATGAAAAAACGGTAAACTTTTCCAATAATGGAAATAAATGAAGCTCACCTTCCAACGATTCCAACTTTCCTTTTATTATCCATGTTGTAGGACGTGTAGCTCTGAACACTTTAGGCGAGCAATTATGCGCAAATAGTCCAACGAAATTCAGCTAACGAACTGGAAAATTTAAACATGAATTTGATTCATATAAAATTTTACGTTATGGTCGATAGATTTCGATTGTTTAATCACACATAACAAATCAAAAAAGAATTAGAACTATAAATGCGGCGAGGATTCCTCCTCGTAAGAAAGAATAGAATATTATGAACATGTTATGCACCCAGAATATATTCATCATTATTCCCAAATAACAATATTGAAGCTGAGATATTTCGATCAAAGTTCTTTTGTTTCAAAATAATGCTAACTCTTCGATTTGGTAATTGTTGGTACTAAGTAGGTAGACAGGTGGAGAACATAATTTGATCTAAATCGTTCGGTTTTAAAACTTCTAAATAGCAACTGATGTCTAAATTACATAGCAGTTATTCGTTCCCTCCTTTACATCAAACATCTCATGCTTGCATTTATATAATCATATTTTGACCAGACAAGATGACCGGACAATTTACAGTTCGATTTTGACCATTAACAAAAACTACGTCTAAAGTGCTTTAAACAGTAGCGCAGAAGCTACTTAAAAGATGCCATCTAGTTTTCGTTCCATAAGTTAAAACTTGGCCTTGTTGATTCGCTATAATTTATTATTTCCCACAGGTAATATCGCACTAGGTTCAGCCGGGTCAAACCTACTCGTGCACCAAAATCACACTACTGCTGAGAGCCTGAGACAGCACTGAAAATGACTGATTGAATGTCAATTTAAGTATGAAAAAAACGGACTAGAAGTTGACGAACAAAACTCGGATGAAATCGTACAGCAATAAGTTTTTTTCGACAGCTAAGCATGTTTGTCAATTGTACGTCATTAAAAATATTACAGGAAATAATTTGTTGCCGAAAATACCAGTAAACTGCAATTTACTATTGATAAATGTTAAAAAGTAACAGAAGGATAAAAGAGCTGTATTTTTGCGGATTGAAAAAAAAAAATTTAAGCCCCTTTGGGCCTTCGCCCGCAGAGGCTCAGAGCCTCGGAGGTAGACTAGTGCAGTAGTGCTGAGGCAGTGAGGCTGAGGTTCCAGCCGCGAGCCGCCCTCCAGCCTTCAGGTGAGTCCTGGACCCACCTGAAGGGTGGAATTCTAAGACCGGAAGTTCAGTATTACCTACTAACAGTAGTACAGTACTCTGAACGTCTGAAGTGAGAAGTCCTCCTCTTCCATTGTACCAGTGTGGGCCGGGCGGCAGTGTACCTAGATGTAAAATAAAAGATATTTTATTTTACAGGCTTTTATTTGGCACCTTACAAATAGTACATAGCATATGGAATTTTTTTGGAGATGCCATACAACAGCCCTCACTGTCCTCACAAAGAGCTTCTGACTGAATGAGCCCAAACTTGTTTGTGAAATGCTAAATGCTTCATGGTAAGGAGTTATTGAACAAAAAATCCTCAAAAGTCAAAACTGTCCATTATTAACCTGTTTGATGGTATCTATTGAGAAGCATACCATCAAATCTAGTCTGGAAAAGTCCTATTTTTGTCTGAAATATCGCGGCTCCCGGGCTCTAATATCATATAATTTCAGTAGGTATGAAATCTCGCGGCTCGAATGTCAAATTTTTGTTTGATTAAAAAATCGCGGTTTGCACTTCGCAAACATGTCATTTCATAAAATTTTCAACTTCCGCATTGCGTTACCGTTTCCGCCAAAAATATCTTGCAGAAAAAACATAAACATCGTAATGTAAACAAATAAACAAAACGTTTGTTGAAGAT